CTGTGCCTTGTACCTGCAACCCTCCAGTGCCCACGGCATCTTCCAGAAAACGAGAACAAGCCATAAGGAGATCACTTGAGGAAAAGAAAATGTTGGAAGAAGAGAGAAATCGGATGCTAACTAAACAGAAGCAAAGAATGAAAGAATTGCAGAAACTCCTGACAACCCGGGCTAAGGCTTATGACTCACATCAAAGTTTAGCTCAGATATCTAAATGCAGAGTAAAATATCTCAGAAAGAGTGAAAAGGAAAGGATGAGAGAATACCGACGAGAACTAGAAGAAAGAGAAGAAAAGTTAAAAAAGAGGCCACTACTATTTGAAAGAGTTGCTCAGAAAAATGCAAGAATGGCAGCAGAAAAGCATTATTCTGTTACCCTAAAAGCACTAGGAATATCTGATGAGTTTGTTTCAAAGAAAGGCCAAAGTGGGAAAGTACTTGAGTACTTCAACAATCAGGAGACGAAAAGTGTCACCGAAGACAAAGAAAGCTTTAATGAAGAAGAAAAAATAGAAGAGAGAGAAAATGGGGAAGAAAATTATTTTATTGATACCAACAGCCAGGATTCTTACAAGGAAAAAGGTGAAGCTGATGAAGAGAGTGGAGAAGAGAAATCTGTTGAAGAATCACATTGAACCATCAAGGTCTCCTCTCTATGCCCTTGCTGCTGTTTGCAGCGTCAGGGTGTCAGCAGCTGCATTTGTGTTTAGAACATCTGTGGGGACACCTCTGATATGTGCAGGGCAGTTGAGCAAAGTCATCTGTAGCCTGAAAAGCCTGAATCCAGCTTATTGGTCATTTGATCAGTTAGAGTAAGGCTTTGCCTATTCAGTTTTAAAAATCATTATATACAATCTGTTTGCAACTATGATTTTGTATTTTTTAAAAGCGTTTGAGAATCACAGCTTTCACAAACTGTTATAAAAATATATGTTGTTTCATTAATTTTAGTAGAAAAAATGGCTTAGTATTGAAAGCAGAGAGAAATATTGGTCTTTGGTGATTTACTTTTTAAAATTTTCTGGAAAGTGTGAATCAATAAGTATTTTTAATTATACTATTTGTCCATTCTTTTTCTCTGAAATACATTTCACAGAATAAATCCTTGAACTTATTTTGCTACTCTGAGCCATTTTTAAAACTAAAGAAAAAAATACTTACAAATTTTATTTTTGCACTGAAAGTTTACTGTTAAATTGTCTACACCATCATCCCTTTTTCTTTTAATCCTTAGTTCTAGTCCAAACTATTTTTGATAGGTAAATTATTAGGAAAGTTTTTATACTAGCTTTTTTAAACCTTTGCATTATTACAGATGGAAGTATTTATGGCATGTGTGAGTTATAATCTAAATTAGGGGCAAGTATTCCTGTTTTATATATGATGAAATGGTACATAATAACTTGGCTAAGGAAAGTATCCAAAATAATTCAGATTTAACTCTTTACTGCTAGACCCAGTTGTGTTCAACTTTTTACATATTGTTGCAAACACACTTTGTCTCTCTGTGTACAATGTTAATCTGATTTTATGAATCTATAGTTTTTTTTCTTTAAGCAAATTTTTGTTTTAAAATTTGAAGCCAATCATAAAGCTGTTACAGCATAAGACATTTTCTTTTCTAAAAACAATCAGCATCATTGTAAAAGGATGAACTCATATAAGTGTATATAATAGCAGTGTTTCCCAACTGGCAATTTGTGTTTTAAATTGAAAAATAAGGTTATTTTTCTTCATCAGGGGCAAATGTTAACTTGTAATTTCCTTCCTACAGTTCATGTTAAATTACTTTTCACTTTTATTAAATTGTAAACTCCTTGGGAATTGGCACCATTTACAAATTCATCTTTGTATTCCCTTAATATTTGGTGCAGGATTGTACATATGGTAGGTACTTAATAAAGGTTTGAATGACTGTGCAGATAAAAAAAAAAAAAAAAAAAAAAAAATCTTAACAGTGCCCCTAAAGGAGAAAAACTGTTCCAAACATTTGCAGTGATTAAGATATTCAACAATTTTAAACAATTGCTTGTTGAAATGCTGATGGTTCACACTTAGTTATAATTATCAAGTGTAGCATCAGTGTTGCTTACAAATTGATTTATTTGAAAGATAAAACATTGCACTTATTATATTATCTCTGTTTCCAGACTTGAGTCTTAAAACTGAGAACATTTCAGAGACATAGGTCATTCATTCTTACAACCTGCCAGAGGCTTGAATTCCTACCATAAAACACCCTTCCCAAAAGGTTGACCAATCTAAGGTTAAACGCCTGCGGAGGGGAGGCCCTTCAGGAATATTTTTATAACCATATCAAATTATTTATCTCCATAGTTTTTAACATGTTAATACATATTGAATTATTTGAAATAACAAAAAATGAGAATGCTAGTTCTTTCATAAGCCAGTTTTTCAAGAACTGATTTTTATTCTTTCAATATCCTGGTAACTCTTCCCTGAATGCTTTTGAATCTTCATCCGAGACTAAATTCAAAATTCCATACGTAGTCTTTAGAGAATGTTGAACAGGGACTTCTTAATTTTGACATTATTAATACAACCTAATATTTTATTAAGCTTTCCAAGTACACTCATTGAGCTCATTCTTATCTTGAATATCTTCATTTCTCTATCTTGCAATTATGAGGTACATTTTTTCTGACCCAAATGAAAAACTGTACATTTAATCTTATATTTATTCTAATGTATTTGATTTGCCTTCAAAATAATTTTTATAAGAAAAGATAGATATATAAAACATAAATAAAGAAAATCACTACAAGTCACCTAAAAATACCTACAAAGAACCTAAAATCTTAATACCCAGGAATAAGTTTACAATATATGCTGAACATTGTTCCAGATATATCTCTGTGTATATGTTCAGTTGGGCAAATAAGCAAGTAGATACAGGTAGAAAAAATTAATGGGAATATAATCATACTATGCATATGACTTTAAAATTAACAGTATAAAATATATTTTCTTGAAATTTAAAAAGGAAAGAAAATTACAACTGAACTGTAAACCTAAATATTATTTATAGAAGATATTTTTAAGTTAAGAAAAAATAAAAACTATTAGGAATAAAAGCCATATAAACATTTTATATGTGTTTTAGACAGTATCAATTAAATTATTTGCTTTAAAAGACTATGTGAAAAGGCAAAACTGTGAAATAGTAAAAAGATTAGCAGTTTCCAGAAAATTGAGAAAGGGAGGGCAGGACAGATGAATAAATGGAGCACAGGAGATATTTAAGGCAGTAAAACTCTCATGAATGACACTATAATGGTGAGTACATGTCATTAAACATTTGTCAAAACCCATAAAATATATAGCACTGAGAATGAGCCCTAATGTAAACTATGGACTTTAGTTAATAACAATCTATCAATATGGGTTTATCAATTGTAACAAATGTTCCACACTAATATGAGATGTTAATTATAGGGGAAACTGTGTTTGAGGGAAGACGAATGTACAAACACTATTCTTCCTCCTCAATTTTTCTGTAAACCTAAAACCTAAAGTTCGTTTTTATTTACAAAATAAAAACTAAAAAATAAATGACAAAGGCCTAAGACACTTTAAAAATAAAAATAATTAAGTGTCACTAAGAGGATTATGCACCATGATCAAGAGAAATTCATCCCAGAGTTGATTCAACATACACAAATTAATAAATGGACATAACATGTTAACAGGATAAAGAATTAAAAATCATATAATCACCTCAAAAAATACAGAAAAAGCATTTGACACAATTTAACATCCTTTCATGATAAAAACTCCCAACAAATTAGGTGTAGAAGGAATGCATCTCAACATTACAATGGTTATATGTAGCAAACCCATAATTAAAATCAAACTCAATGGTGAAAAGCTGAAAGCTTTTCTCCTAGAATCAGAAACAAGACAAGGATGACCACTTACACTACTTCTATTTAAAATGGTAGTAGAAGTCCTAGCCAGAGCCATTAAGTGATAAACAGAAATAAAAGATATCTAAATTGGAAAGTAAAAAGTGAAATTGTCTTTTCAGATAATATGATCTTATACACAGAAAATTCTAAGGACTCCACCAAAAAGTTTTTACAACTGATAGGTTCAATAAAGTTGCAGGATATAAAATAATTCTAGAAAATTCAGTATTATTTCTATACAGTAACAATAAGCTATTCGAGAAAGAAATTAAGAAAATGATGTCATTTACAATAGCATCAAAAAGATCAAAATATTTAGAAATAAATTTAATCAAGGAACTGAAAGATCTTGTACATTGAAAACTATAAAATGGTGATTAAAGAAGGCAGAAATAAATGGAAATATGTCTCACGTTCATAGATTGGAAGAATTAATGCTAGAATATCCATACTATTCAAAGTGATCTACAGATTTAATGCAATTTTCATCAAAGTACAAGGGCAGTTTTCATAGAAATGGAAAAAACAATTCTAAAATTTGTGTGAAGCCACGGAAGACCTTGCATAACCAAAGCAATCTTGAGCAAGAAGAACAAAGCTAGAAGCATCACACTATCTGTCTTCAAAATAGACTACAAAGTTACAGCAATAAAAACAGTATGGGCTGGGCATAACGACAAACATACAGACCAGTGAAACAGAATAGAGAGCCTAGAAATAAGTCCACATAAGGTCAATTGATCTTTGACAAAGGTGCCAAGAAAACACGTGGGAAAAGGACAATTTCTTCAATAAGTTCTGTTAGGAAAACTGGATATCCACATGTAAAAGAATGACATTGGGCCCTAACCTCACACCATACACAAAAATGAACTAAAAATTGATTCAAGACTTAAACAGAAGACTGAAAACTGTAAAAATTCTAGAAAAAAAAATAGGGAAAAGTTTCTCGACATTGGCATGGGCAATGATTTTTTTGGACATGACCTTAAAAGAATAGGCAATGAAAGCAAAAATGAACAAATGGGATTGCATCAAACTAAAAGGCTTCTGCACAGCAAAAATAAATAAATAAATAAATAAATAAATAAATAACACAGTGAAGAGACAACATATAAAATGAGATAACATATTTGGAAACAATGCATCTGATAAGGGCTTAATATCCAAAATGTATAAGAAACTCAAATGACTCAGTAACAAAAAATGAGTCATAATTATACATATATACATAGTTTTAGTCCTTGTTGTGCTCCTATAAAGGAGTAGCTGAGGCTGGATAATTTATAGTAAAGACCTTTATGTGGTTCATGGTTCTGCAGACTGTACAAGAAGCATGATGCCAGCATCTGCTTCTGTTGAGGGCTTCAGGGAACCTCCAATCATGGCAGAAGGCAAAGGGGATGCAGGCATGTCATGTGGCAAGAGGGGGAGCAAGAGATGAGGTGAGGTGCCATGCTTTTTTAAACACCAGCTCTCATGTGAACTAATAAAGCAAGAAGTCACTCATTACCCTGAAATGGCATCAAGCCATTCATGAAGGATCCACCCTCATGACCCAAACACCTCCCACTGGGACTCACCTCCAACATTGGGAGTCTAATTTCAACATGAGATTTGGAGAAGACAAATATCCAAACCATCTATCTGTTTATCTATCTTTCTATCTATCTATGTAGAAATAATATCCCATTATATTTTTATAAATTATATGTTATCAGTCATTCCACAGCTGTTTGGGGAGAGATTAGTTCCAATACTTCCCATGGATACCAAAATATATGGATGCTCAATTACCTGATATGAAATAGTGTACCATTTGCATATAATCTATGTGCATTCTCCTATATACTTTAAATCATCTTTAGATTACTGAAAATACCTATCATTATGTATATAGTTATTATACTGTATTTTTAGGGAATAATGGCAAGAAAAAAGTCTGTACATCGTCAATACAGATGTAGCTTTTTTGGTTCATTTGTTTACTTTTTGGTATTTTTTATCTGTGATTGCTTGAATCCATGGGTGTAGAATCCACAGCTACAAACGCCCAATTGTATATATTTATTTGTATATAATGTAGATAGATAGATAGATGATAGATAGATAGATAGCTAAAATTAAATATTATTCAGCCTTTAAAAAGGAAATCCCATTCTTTGTGACAAAATGAATGAACCTGGAGAATATTTTTAAGTAAAATAAGCCAGGCGCAAAAAGATAAATACTGCATTATCCCTGTTATATGTGGAATTTAAAACAGTTAAACTCCTGAAAGTAGAAAGTAGAATGGTGGGTGTCAGGGGCTATAGGATGAGGGAATGTAGAGATGTTGATCAAAAAGTACAGAGTTTTGTTATGCAGAATCAATAATTTCTGGAGACCTAAGATACAGCATGGTTGACTATAGCTAATAATACTTCATCATATACTTAAAATTGGCTAGCACAGACCATAAGTGTTCTTACCACACACACAAAAATGGTAAACTATGTGAAGTGACAAGTATGTTAATAAATTTAATTGTAGCAATCATTTCACTATATGTATGTGTGAGATATATGTGTATGTCTATATGTATATACATATACATACATATACATGTGTATACAAGTAATCACATTACACGATTATACAGTTTTTATTTGTCATGTACCTGAATAAACGTCATAAAAAATGTTATTTGATTAGTTTTACAACTTATAATTATGTATTCTCTTTCCTTAATTCCAAACTTTTATTTCTTATTTTCTTGTTTTTGAAGAGTTTAGTACATTTATAATCTATTTGTTGACAGTCAATGTATTCTTTCTGAGGTTTCTGTTTAAATGAATTCAATGTCTTCTCTCAGGCCTTTTTCACACATTCCCAGATTGAGTTTTTTTTAATTTTTAATTCTTTTAGTTCATTAGATTTTATTTTCAGAAGAATTTACAGGTGTGAGTTTTCTTCATACCTTCCTTCTCTGAGAATGAAGTTTCTC